ATATTCTTTTTTTTTTTTTAATATATTTTATTAATTTTTTACAGAGAGAAAGGGAGAGGGATAGAGAGTTGGAAACATCGATGAGAGAGAAACATCGGTCAGCTGCCTCCTACACACCCACTACTGGGGATGTGCCTGCAACCAAGGTACATGCCCTTGACCGGAATCGAACCTGGGACCCTTCAGTTCGCAGGCCAACGCTCTATCCACTGAGCCAAACCGGTTAGGGCTATCTGGATATTCTTAAAAAATTTTTTAAAAAATGTTTTTATTGATTTCAGAGAGGAAGGGAGAGGGGGGGAGAGAGAGAAACATCAGTGATGAGAGACAATCATTGATCAGGTGCCTCCTACAGGCCCCACTCTGGGGATTGAGCCCCAAACCTGGGCATATGCCCTAACTGGGAATCAAACCATGACCTCCTGGTTCATAGGTTGACACTCAACCTATCTTCATATTTTGAAAAATCAGTGCTCAACCATTAACCACACCACTGAACCATTCTGGGTGATATTCATCTTCTCTGCTTTTAGGGCAACTTGGGACATGAAGCCAAATGTCTGATTAAAATTTCTGAAGGAGAATTCTTTGTAGAAGGCATCTCTCTCACTTAATTCCAAGCATCCCGCTGCTTTACGATCAAGTATAACATGGTCACTCTCCTATGCTGTCAACCAGTGAGCATCTGTGCACACGGTTAAAGTTCTGGGCTCCAGTCAGCACAGGGCTACTTGCCGAGCACTGCCTGCCCTCGAGTTCTAATATGTACTAGTTTTTATTTTCATTCAGTTCAAAATTGTTTCAAATTTTCTTTGTGATTTGTTATTTGAACCATGGGTTATTATATATATTTAAATCTCCTAAAATGTGGGGGTCTCTAGTAATTTTTATTTTATTTTTAAAAAATATCTTTTTATTGATTTCAGAGAGAAAGGAAGGGAGAGAGAGAGAGAGAAACATCAATATGAGAATCAATGATTGGCTGCCTACTGGGGATTGAGCCCGCAACCTGGGCATGTGCCCTTGACCAAAATCGAACCAGGGACCCTTCAGTCTGCAGGCTGACACTCTAACCACTGAGCCAATCCGGCTAGGGCCTAGGTATCTTTTTTGTTATTGATTAATATCATTATGATTTTAATCTTTTGACACCTGAAATTTGCTTTTAGCCCATTAGACGGTCAGTTTACAAAACTGTTCATGTGGTTTGAAAAAAGAGTGTATTCAGCATTTGTTAGATGTGGTGTTTTTTATATGTCTATTAGGTTGTTCTAATTTCTACAACCTTCCTAATTTTGTTGTCTTCTTATTACATCAATTACTGTTAAATTCTCCCATTATCATTTGGATATTTCTAATTGTATTTTTTTAAAAATATATATTTTTATTGATTTCAGAGAGGAAGGGAGAGGGAGAGAGAGACAGAAACATCAATAATAAGAGAGAATCATTGGTCAACTGCCCCCTGCAAGCCCCCTCCTGTTGATTGAGTCCACAACCCGGGCATGTGCCCTGATTGGGAATCAAGGACCTCCTGGTTCATAGGTTGATGCTCAACCACTGAGTCATGCTGGCTGGGAAAATTGTATTTCTTTTAATTTTTGCTTTATATATTATGAAGCCATGTTATTAATTTCATACAAACTTAAAATTTATTTTTGTTTTAGAGTCTATTTCATGTAATCCTAATCTACCTGCAACAGCTTTTCTTTGGGTAGTGTTTGATTGATACATTTATTCTTCTTTTATTTGCCAACTTTCTGTATCATTATGCTTTAAATCTGTCTCTTATTAAACATCATAAAGTTTTTTCTTTTAAAGCCCCGGCTGGGTAGCTCAGTTGGTTAGAGCATCATCCCGATACCACAAGGTTGTGGGTTTGATCCCCCTCAGGTCACATGTAAGAATCAACCAATCAATGCATAAATAAGTGGAACAACAAACTGCTGTTTCTCTCTCTCTCTAAAACCAATAAATAAAAAATTTAAATCCTACCGGACAATCTTTTATCCATTTATATTTAATAGATATATTTATCATATTTTTTCTATTTGTTCTACTGCTATATATACCTTTCCCTCCTTTCTTGCCTTCTTCTGGGTTATTTTTTAAATATATTTTTATTGATTTCAAAGAGGAAGGGAGAGGGAGGGAGAGATAGAAACATCAATGATGAGAGAGAATCATTGATTGGCTGCCTCCTGCTCGCACCCTACTGGGGATCGAGCCTGCAACCCCGGGTATGTACCCTTGACTGTAACCGAACCTGAGACCCTTCAGTCCGCAGGCTGATGCTCTATCCACTGAGCCAAACAAGCTAGGGCTGGGTTATTTTTTATCATTGTATTTTTATTTTACTTTTTTAATTTACTGATTTTAGAGAAAGAAGAAGACCAAGAGAGAGATACAATGTTAACACACTTTTCCCTTCTTCCCAGATGATCTATAATAATAAAAGTATAATATGCTAATTAGACTGGATGTCCCTCCAGACAAAGCTGGGGCTGTAGCCACGGGATCGAGGCAGCCGCCCTCGGCTCTGAGGGAGGGATCAAGACAGTTGCTGCGGCTGCGAAGGCCTACTCTTGCACGAATTTCGTGTATCGGGCCTCTAGTATATATGTATGTATATATGTATATATATATGTATATATGTACATGTACATATATACATATATATATCATTCACAAACTTTACCAATATTTATTCCACTGCCAACTATTATTGTTACCTATTTTAATTCTATCTTTTAAATCCAATAAAACATTATTATTATTGTTTAGTAAAGTCTATAGTCCTTTGATTTACCCACATATTTTCTATTTTTACTCTTTATTCCAGAATCTCAAAGCTTCCATCTGGTATTTTTCTTCTGCTCAAATAATATTCGTTAGAATTTCATTTAGTGTGGGTCTCCTGGTAATTTTTATAGTAAATGTTTTAATGGAAGAATATCTGAAAATGTTTATTTCCTCTTCATTCTTTTTTTAAATATATTTTTATTGATTTCAGAGAGGAAGGGAGGAGAGATAGAAACATCAATGATGAGAGAGAATCATTAATCAGCTGCCTCCTGCACGCCCCCTACTGGGGATCGAGCCCACAACCCAGACATGTGCCTCTGGCTGGAATCAAACCTGGGACCCTTCAGTCCACAGACTGACGCTCTATCCACTGAGCCAAACCAGCTAGGGCTCCTCTTCATTCTTGAAGGATATTTCTACTAGATGTAGAATCCTAAGTTACCAATTATTCTATTTCAGTACTTTGAATATGTTATTACATTGTTTCCTGCTTCTATTGTCAGCTTAATTGTTCTCTTTTACAAGTAATCTTTTTGCTGGCTGCCTAAACATTTTTTCATTCATCTGAAGCACTTTTACTATGATGTGCAGCCTAGGTGTTGTTTTCTTTATATTCATTTTGCTTTGTTTTAATTTTTACTTGGCTGCACTTTTTGCTCAAGAACTGGTTTCCTTATAGTCGTCTTCTATCCCACAGGTAAAAGTACTCACAAGCTTTGCGCTATCTGCTCTGCACCTTCCACATGGAATCTGAAGCATAAGTATGTGCAGGACTCTCCTCTGTATGCTCTAAGTAAGCTAGGCTTTCTCCACTCTACAGAGTTTATCATAATAGTTGAATCACCTTAGCACAGAGCTTGGAGAGACTGAGACAGCCAGAGGTTTGTGCTCAGGTGCCACCATCCTTCCTGAATCTTCTGGATTCTCAGATAAGTTAGGACCTTACCTTTAAAATCAAATCTCCCTGTGCCTTGGCCAGTGTGGCTCAGTTGGAGCAACATCCCATACACCAAAAGGTTGTGGGTTTGATTCCCAGTCAGGGCACATATGTAAGTTTCAGGTTTAATCCTCTGTTGGGGCACTTACTGGAGGCAACCAATCGATGTGTCGTGATGTTTCTCTCTCTGAGACCAATATAAACAAACAAACAAATAAAAAATAAAATCAAACTTCCCACAACACACTAGGAAAAAAATACTTGGCTACACATGCAACAAAACTACTATATTAAGATCCCTCATAGGCCAAGAAGAAGAAAAACAAGCAAATATTCACATAATTCAGTAGAAAAATGGGGAAAAGGTATGAACTGATAATTCACAAGAGAGGTAAACATGGTCAATAAACAGAAGAAAAAAAGTTCATTAGTCATGATAAAAATACAAATTAAAATTTAAAAAACACCAGACTATAAAAAGTATAATGAACAGTATTGAGGAAAGCCCTGTGAACTATGTGTCACACAGGAAATGTGAACTGGTACATCCCCTCTAGAGGTTATCTGTATACGATTTAAAATTTTAAGTACTAATTGACACAGATACTAAATTTCTAGAAATTTATCCTATGGAAATATTTAAGAAAATGTTATTGTTCATATCCTAATATTGCTTTCTTTCCTTTCATACCACAGATCAACATCTGACATATTTATTGTTTGTCTTCCCTCCACTAGAATATAAGTTTATTGAAAGCAAGGATCTAAACAGTACTTGACACAAACCAAGCATGTAACAAATGTTGGTTGTTGACAGAATGTGCAACATTCTGTAAGGTCTATCTGTAAGAGTTCAAAATTATGGGCTTAAAAAATATCCAATATCCAACAGCAGGGGATTGGTTAAAACAAAGAATTGACATTGACAACTATGTAACCATTAAAAATTGATTTATAAAAAAAGTAAATGTCATGATACTATCACATGACCTCATTTCTGTTAAAAAGGAAAAAGAGAAGTAGACAAAAATATATGCACAGATAAAAGCTAACACAGTATATACAACCAAGATGTTATCAGTGGAAATGAGATGATAAGATTACAGGTGACTTTTTTTCTTTATTTGTGGCTTCCTATATTCTTCAGTTTCTTATATTGAATACAAATCTTTTTTAATAAGAAAAAAATTATTCAAAACAAATTCAAACCAAAACCAAAATTTCATTTCTAGTTCAAATGAGGAAAAGGCAAGTTTACCTTCAACTTCATCATCGGAACTCAACTCATCATCAGAGCATATGTTGAGAATGTTAACCAGCATCTCTGTGACTATAAGATAAAGCAAAATAGCCCTGATTTTAGGAACAATAAATTCATTTAAAAAAACCCCAAATTTAAATAATTAATAAGATACTTTTCCAAAATGATGTGGATATCTAAATAAACATACTTGTCAAACATAAATAAAAATGACTTGTCATTAGGCTGTTAAGAGTTAGCTACAGAGTAGCATTATACGTAAACCTCCTGGTTTATATATAATTTGGGGAGATTACTTGTTCCAGTAAAAGTCTGGAGTCTTTGAAGATTCTATTGCATAATTACATGACTTCATTAGACTACTATCCAGAGCCATTTCCTTCACTGATATGCACATGACAAGACTTCCTCCCATTTTGCAAAGAAGTTAAGCCACCAGGCCAGGCCTATATCCAACAGGCTTATTTATATTTGCATAGTTTTTTTTGTATAGGTGCACAAATAAAGTTCTAAGGGCAATATTTCCTATTTAAATCTCTTTTATCACTGAAGAAATCACTTGAAGGAATGGTATAATGACATGTTATTTTAACATCTTGATCACAGTAGGACAGCTACATTAAGTGGATATGTATAAAAAGAAAAGCATAATCAACTAGAATTGTAATTTAAAAACCAATTACGTGTCATTTTAAAATCTTTATTAAAAAACAAAGAAAATTAGAAAGCATTTTGATAACTTTTAAAAAACATTTCTGAGCCATCAGGGGCTCATGCAAATATAAAAGTATGCTAAGATAACTGATAGTCCAGATGCTTTAGTTCTCTTACCTTTTTCCCCAACAAAAGGCAAAGACCACGTGAAAACATCCATAAAGTTTGGAAGCCAGTAGGGGTGTGGAGAACAGTTAAACTGCCTGATATTCATGACATTGTTTTCATATTTTAACACAGCAGCTAAAAAGGTAAAAAGCAAGAAAATCTGGCACAGAGGAACATGACATGGCAACTAGTATGCATTGTACAGTTGTGCATTTACTACACAGAATTCAATAACTTATTTTCCATTTGTAAATTTAGAACTTAGTATTTAAGGGCAGATGGAAAATCTTAAAGCACTTTATGTATAGTTCATTCTTTTTTTTTTAATGGCTATGCTTATTTTTATTATTATTATTTTTTGTAAATACTCACCCAAGGATATTTTTCCTTTGATCTTTAGAAAGAGTGTAAGGGAGGGGGAGAAAGAGAGAGAGAGAGAAACACCAAGACCAAGGCCGGGGATTAACCAAAGCCAGGGATAGAGCCTGGTACGAGCCCTTGACAGGACTCTTCACTATCCACAGGCCAACACTATCCACTGAGTCAAACTCGCTAGGGCTATATAGTTCATTCTTTTAAGAATAATCCCAAGGAACAAAGTTACATGAAGAGCTCATATTTTATTTATTTATTTATTTATTTATTTTTAAAATATTTTTTATTGATTTTTTTACAGAGAGGAAGGGAGAGGGATAGAGAGTTAGAAACATCAATGAGTGAGAAAGATCGATCAGCTGCCTCCTGCACACCCCCTACTGGGGATGTGCCCACAACCAAGTTACATGCCCTTGACCGGAATCAAACCGGGGACCCTTCAGTCCCCAGGCCGATGCTCTATCCACTGAGCCAAACCGGTTAGGGCTTGAGCTCATATTTTAAAAGTACAAAAGAAACTAAGCTCTGAAACTTCAGAGTCACTGCACAGTAACTACCTATAGAAATCTCAGGTTCCACCTGAGAAAAATTTGCCATAATTTCATAATGTCCCTTTACTAGAGGCCCAGTGCATGAAAATTCGTGCACTTAGGGGAGTGGGGATCCCTCAGCCCGGCCTGTGCCTTCTCGCAGTCTAGGACCCCTCGGGGGATGTCCACCTGCCAGCTTAGGCCCGCTCCCCAGGGGATCGGGCCTAAGCTGGCAGTCAGACATCCCTCTGGCAGCTCAGTAGCCCTCGGGGGATGTCTGACTGAGGCTTAGGCCCACTCACCTAAGCTGCAGTCGGACATCCTTAGCATGTCTGACTGCTGGACATCCCTCTCGCAATCCAGGACCGCTGGCTCCTAACCGCTCTCCCCTGCTGACCTGATCGCCCCTAACCGCTCTGCCTGCCTGCCTGATCGCCCCTAACCGCTCTCCCCTGCCAGCCTGATTGCCCCTAACCGCTCTCCCCTACTAGCCTGATCTCCCCACTCTCCCCTGTCGGCCTGATCACCCCTAACTGCTTTGCCTGACTGCCTGATCACCCCTAACTGCCTCTGCCTCGCCCCCCACCACTGTGGCTTTGTCCGGAAGGACATCTGGAAGATGTCCGGTCTATCCGGTCTAATTAGCATATTACCCTTTTATTAATATAGAGATAGATATTCAAAGTAGATACAACTGCAACTTTCCTTTGAGGGCAAACAGTTCTCACTAAATGGACACAGCCTGTTTTGCTTGCCATTAGCCAGAGCCAAAGATTTTATAAATTCTCTGGGAGTTTATAAACATAGCAGAATAATTTACAAGGTTCAAAAGTAGATTCAATAATCTCTACATACAATATAGTGGATAAAAAGTGCCCATCTTTCCTATATAAGTCAGTATATTGCTAGACTCTGTAAGTGTTTAATATTAACCAGCTCATAAATTTGTACATATACTTTGGTATCAAACTAATTTTTTTATATTTGAAAAGTTTTAATATCCAATTCCTTCATCTTCATCAGCAATGTAATGTCGTTTGTATTATTCTTACTGTGATCATAAATAGAATAGGGTATAACAGCTCTCTAGAAACGACAGATATACGTCATCTCCTGGTTCCTGTTTCTTTCCTTATATAGAATAGCCAAGTGTTCTCAAATTTACGTTACTGAATGTCTAAAATGTACACCGTAGATTATAAAGAAAAATACATGAACATAGAATCTCTAGCTCTTAAAAACCTAACACTGACTACAATGTACATGTTCCATTATTTTCATGTATATGTATTTTATTTAGATTACATGAATATACAATTACTCAATAATTGCCTCAGTCTACACAGGAAAAGGGGTGGGAGGTAGGTCTCAACAGTGGATAATTAAAATTAGACCTTAAAAACTGATGTAGGGTATGTTTCCAATGGACACAAAAAATAGAAATAGAAATCTTTAAAAATCATGACTTAAGGGTCTTTCATATAACCAGTGGAGCTAAGAAATACCTATGGATACCAATTAAGTCTAAAGAATATTCAAGAAAGAAACACCACAGTAGAAGAAAGAATAGTTGCCTTTTTCAAGAAAAGAGGCACTTGTACGGGGAGTAACTGAGTGTCACCACAGGTTATTTCAGGTGCCACATTTTCTGCCTTTTACCTAAAAAAATGCTTAAGAAACAACCAAGGGAAATAAGATTGTTTCAAGATAAGATTACCGATTATATCAAAGTGGACAGAAAACTCAGGTAGAATGAATTGTGACTTTAAAAGTTTACTAAAGTAATAACCAAGAACAGAACAAGATTAGAATGAAGCAAAAAGTGAGCTGGCAGTTAGTAGTGATTGCTGCTTTAGGTGGCATGTTTCAGCTTACCACATGATAAACCCATTGGGCAATCAATGTTCTTAATAGTAAGGTAAAAAAAAAAGGAGTGAGAAGGTAAAGTCTTCACAAATATGAAGACCAGAACCACTAAGTGTCCTTGAGGAAGTTTAACAACACGAGCAGTGCATACCATTCATAAGGGAAGAGACAAGAACAAAACCAAACTGCTATATGTTGGAATTATTAGGGGGGGAGGGGGAAGAATTAAAAATGGAATTAGGGAGAAGCAAGACACAGTAGGACACCTAAAACCCAGAAAAGAATGATAAGAAGTAAAAATAAAACAAGGCTGGGAAAGAACTTAAGTCTAAAAAATTGCTTTTTAAAAATGGACAGCAAGTCATTGAAGGATATACTGATAGATGATTGATCCAAATCCAATTTCAATGAGATGTGCCATTTCATAGTTTATTTTTAAATAGAGTAAATGGTAAATATATTGTGGACCTCTTTTAAAGTTCTCTCTCCAACTGCATATACAAAATATGACTATAAAGTAATGAGACTTAAGAAACCACCAACTACAAACACACAGACCTTATATATCAGGTGAGTGTGGTCCTTTGATGTAATCACACCAGACACAATAACAGTAAAATGCTATAGTATTATAGCAATTTACAGTCTGATGATTTTAATTTCATTTTTATTATTCCAACCTATCTTCAACAACCCTATTTGACAGGTATTTTAAAGATAAACTGAGGCTCAGGGAAGTGTTGTTCAGTGTGAAGTAAACTTAAATGCAAAGTGAAGTTATCTTTGTTAACTGTGAATTTAAAATGAAGCAGGACTAGCCTAGAACTTCTGACTCCTAGCTTAGTGCCTCTTTCAACACACTTTGCTGCCTTACGGTATTTTTAATTCAAAGATGCTGCCATTACTCAAAACGTTTTTGAAACTCCTTTTTGGGAATTGCCTCCAGAGCCATTTTATAAGCAACACAAAGAAAACCAGTCTCATTACCTTATAATCATACCTTGTTTCTGACCCCAAATGGTATCGACTAACTTGAACACTCACCTTACTCATCAGTCTGCACTCCGAATGACTTTTGGCTGTTCCAAAAATCAAATCCACCCTCAAAGGACGAAGATTTCCCATCATTGTGGATATTATCAAAAGAATGTGTCGCAGACGCTGAAGGCAATGCCAAAAGAGGAGTTCCAAAAATGTTTGAACAATGGCAGCATTGTTGGAATAAGTGTATAGCCTCCCCAGGCAACTACTTTCAAGGGACAATACTCACTTGAATATATACATTCTGGCATGTTTGTTTAAAAGTTATATTATTTTATAGTCATACTTTATAAACAACAAAATAGTTACAGAGGCATGAAGTTTTTAGGTGAACAGCCCTGATACAAAACTTAGGAACTATGATTCATAAAAGTTAAATAAAATTAAAAAGACTTTAAAAGGATAAAGTTTCAGAAGTAGAATTTCTGTGCTGAAAGGCATGTGGATGGCTAATCCTCTTTTTCTATATGGGAAACTGAAGTTTAGAGAGATTATGTGACTTACCTAAAGTGGCACTACTTATTTATTTATTTATTTGTTTGTTTATTTATTTATTTATTATTTCTTTTTTACAAGAATGTTCACAGTTTTTTTATGAAAATGTAGAATCAACCCAATGGTTAAAGAAATCAAATTTTGCATTACAATTAAAATGACAGAATAGAGCTCCACATCTACATGGAAGATCTAAAATATAGTGTTGGTTTTTTAAAAAGTGTCTTTATTTATTTTATTTTATTTTTAAAATATATTTTATTGATTTTTTACAGAGAGGAAGGGAGATTTTTTTTTTCCTGGGACCTTTCAGTCCGCAGGCCGACGCTCTATCCACTGAGCCAAACCGGTTTCGGCGGAAGGGAGATTTTTTACAGAGAGTTAGAAACATCGCTGAGAGAGAAACATCGATCAGCTGCCTCCTGCACATCTCCTACGAGGGATGTGCCCGCAACCCAGGTACATGCCCTTGACCGGAATCGAACCTGGGACCTTTCAGTCCGCAGGCCGACGCTCTATCCACTGAGCCAAACCGGTTTCGGCGGAAGGGAGATTTTTTACAGAGAGTTAGAAACATCGCTGAGAGAGAAACATCGATCAGCTGCCTCCTGCACACTCCCTACTGGGGATGTGCCCGCAACCAAGGTACCTGCCCTTGACCAGAATCGAACCTGGGACCTTTCAGTCCACAGGCTGATGCTCTATCCAATGAGCCAAACCGGTTAGGGCTGTCTTTATCTTTTAGAGATACATATGACAATTTTTACAGATGAAATTGCATATCTGTTTTGCCTTGTAGTAATTCAGAGGAGTGAGAGGACATGGGAACGGGTTTTAATGAAGTACATGAAGCCATAACTGGTCATTGTTGAAGCTGGGATATGGATACATGGGGGTTCATTACATGTATACATTTGAGGGCAAAACAGTATGAAAAGAAAGCAAGCTGAAGGATGATATATTCAAAGTTATAGAGTACTTACATAATTTAAAAGCACACAAAACCCTACTTTATATTGCATAGTGATACATATATATGTGTGTGTGTGGTAAAAAGAAATTCATGGGAATGATAAACATCAACCTCAGGAGAGAGAAATGGGATGTGAGATTTATGCAAAGAATTTCAACTGGTTTTGTTATATTTTATTTCTTTAAAAAATTGGAAGCAATTAACACAAAATGTGCAGAGTTAACAAAGGTGGATTGTTGTTAGCTGTTGGTTATGTAATTTATTTTCTGAATCCTTTTCTGAGTGCTTGACATATTTGTTTAAAATAAAATTTTTGGCTACTTACAAAAGATCAACATGCATACTATTTATTATATTAGTTTCTGGAAAGGCTTGGACTAAAGTTAAGATTTTTTTTTCACTTTGGTATAGTATTCATTCTACCTATACCATTCTTCAACCAGAGCAAAGGCAGCTTAATAATACACAAACATTAAAACACTAAATGGTAGTATTTTATTGAGATAATGTTATAAATAAATTAAATTCACTGAAACCAATAATTAATGCTGACGGTTCTAACCTGAACCTGGAATGATTTATTCTTCTTATATTTTGATTCAGTAGCATAAATCACACCTGTTATGATCGGTATTTATACTCTCAAACACTTCAATAAAGGCCCAGAAATCAGAATTTAGGCTCTTGCTTGGCTTAAGAGATGGAAACCAAGCAAGAGCCTAAATTCTAAGTTTCTTGCCTTTATTTCAATTAAAACCTTTTCCTTATTTAAAATTTATACATATTAAAAAAACGCATACACATATATATGTTAAAATAGAGCTCACATTTACTCACAAATTCAAACTCAAATATCGCTGGACTCCTTTACCTTTATTGTTATAGACATCTAGGTAATTGGGGGCAGAGAAAATTGTAATGAGTGATGGAAAGCCTGTTGTTTGGCTCTTCCTGTACATTCGATACCTGGAAGAGAGATGACAGCCCATCTGTCCTGATATTAAAGGCAAAAACTCTGCATTGATATTTGGTACAGTTTTAATATAACCTACCCAGCATCTTGGGCTTCATGGGCTCTGATTATTGATAACAAATTATTATTCCGCAAAAAGTCACAAACTGCAGGGTAACTGAAAAAGAAAATTAGAAAACATAAATCCAGAATTAAAACAACTGATTTTTAATAGGAAGGGAATAACTTAGAATGATACGAGTTGATTGTATTTTGAAATTAAGGTCTTACATACCACTGAACTTTTATTAATAGCTTAGCAATCATAATTCTGTTTTTCTATTTCACTAATATACCTCATTCTAGATCAGTGGTTCTCAATCTTCCTAATGCCTCGACCCTTTAATACAGTTCCTCATGTTGTGGTGACCCCCAATTTCATTGTTACAAATTGAACATAATTAAAGCATAGTGATCAATCACAAAAACAATATGTAATTATATATGTGTTTTCCGATGGTCTTAGGCGACCCCTGTGAAAGGGTCGTTTGACCCCCAAAGGGGTCTTGACCCACAGGTTGAGAACTGCTGTTCTAGATCAAATATGCAGATACAGTAATAGACAACCCTAGGTCAGAAACAGCTCCCCTCTTTTAATTTTTTTGTCTTACCCCATGACAATAACACACCAAAACTTTTCTTGCTATTTTGATATGTTAAAAAGTAGCATGGTTGTGTGTGTGTGTGTGTGTGTGTGTGTGTGTATTTGTAGGTGCTAAAAACTGAACACTCAATTTTCAAATTGTCAAACTGTTAGAAAAGCTAAAGAACCTACTTATAGCTTCACAGGTAATATCAACACTAAGATAATATAATGCAATAATATTTTAGATGTAAATGCAAATATTACATCCAACCTTATTCTAATTAAAGAATATTTGTCATTCTCAATGACAAATACCTGACAAGAAGAACTAGAAAATACAAAACTATCCTGGAATAATCCAACTGTTAATTACTTAGTTTATGTTTAAATCTTTGTTTTCTTATTGTGCTAATTAGAAAAAATTAACTTTTGAAAGAAGTTGTACATTCACACGGTATAAAATTGAAAGATAAAAAAGGGGATGGTGATCTCCTCTCTACTCCCTACTTCCTTTCAGCTGCCCTGGAAGAGAGAAGCAACCCATGTCCCTGGCTTCCTTGGGTGCACTTTCACAGACACTCTATGCAACTTCAAGCAATTACCCCCACACACATGGACATCACACCCACCCCAACTTCAAGAAATATTATCAGATGGTAAGCAGAGCGCTGCATGTATCTTTTTTTCACTTTAGTGATTATTCTATACCAGTTTACAAAGGGCTGTTTTCTTTTTTCATTTTTTTTTAAATTTATTTTTATTGATTTCAGAGAGGAAAGGAGAGGGAGAAAGAGAGATAGAAACATCAACCATGAACAAAAAGAAAAAAAAAGAAACATCAACAATGAGAGAGAATTACTGAGCACTGATCAGCTGCCTCCTGCACGACCCCACTGGGGATCGAGCCTGCAACCCTGACATATGCCCTTGACCGAAATCGAACCCAGAACTCAGTCCACAGACCAATGCTCCATCCACTAAGCCAAACCGGCCAGGGCTCTTTTTTCATTTTTAAAAAAAAGCTTCACTGTATTGTTTGGTACATTCCATTGTCTGGATGTACTACAATTTATTTAACTAGTTTCCTACTGAACATTCAGGTTGTTTTAAATCTTTTATCATAAAAAATGAGTAATGAATAACCTTATTACAGGCATTTTACACATTTGCAAGTACAGTGATTCTTCTTATTCTTCTTGCCTATGTTCTGTAAAGTTGCTGCAAAAACTGAATTAGTGAATACTGCTCCCAGGGGAAATACAGAATCAGGGTCCTGTGAGCCTCTGCTCCCAACATTTTCATCAACTGATCAAACTGTTTTATGTGTGTTTCTGAGTAAAGACGCCTTATTTAATATATACTGTTGATTCATGAGCATGGAACTTATAGCCAACAACACCATAATTCATGCCTGAACCAAGCTTAGAGCACACAGGTCTTTTCTCTGTAAGGCACATCACAGCCTTCTGGCACTTAGCAACACTAGACAGCACTTGGGCACTGTGCTTGGAGCTGCTTTTAAACAGCAAAATAACCAATCAAAAACGTGAAAAATGTTAAATACTAGACAAACAGAATACCTGCTTACAGCTACGAGAGCTGAAACAGAAGGCAGAGCAACTCCTAATAATTCTAACCTCAGCGGGAACACAGGTGGGGTGACAGATTTTTCATCACTCTGCACGCACCCATGTCTGCGAATGACTATGAAAGTGCTATGAGTATTGATTTTGGGGTTACAAATAAATCATAGCAAGTAGGAAAATTTGCAAATTAGAATTTGTGAATAATAAAGATCAACTATACTAGTACAATCACAGGATTATGATTTTGAAGTAGAACTTCCAGATCAAAGGCCATGGGCATTTATAATTGAGAGATATTGCCAAGTTGACCTCCATAGAAATTGTAGTGATTTCTATTGTATTAATAATACAGAAGTATTTTAAGCAATGTAAAGAAAAGTAAAATTTAAATGATTTCATATTAGTCACTGGTACAGTTGGCGGAAAGAATGTTAAAACTATGGTAAAATTGAGGCTTCTTATTTTTAAAAAATATATTTTTATTGATTTCAGAGAGGAAGGGAGAGGGAGAGACAGATAGAAACATCAATGATGAGAGACAATCATTGATCGGCTGCCTCCTACATGCCTCACACTGGGGATCAAGCCCACAACCCGGGCATGTGCCCTTGACCAGAATAGAACCTGGGACCCTTCAGTCTGCAAGGCCGATGCTCTATCCACTGAGCCAAACCAGCTGGGCATGGCTTCTTACTTTTTTTATGTAGATTCCATTTAATTAGTGTATCATCTTAGGCAATTAACAGATTTTTAGAGGACTATATACATGTATTATTTGTCATAATAAAATATTGCAATAAAAAAAATTTAGATTTCAACCCAGCTGTCATGGCTCAGTGGCTGAGCGCTGACCTATGAATCAGGGGTCACATTTCCATTCCCAGTCAGGGCACATACTTGGGTTGTGGGCTTCATCCCTGGTGGGGTGGGTGCAGGAGGCAGCTGATCAATGATTCTCTCTCATCATGTTTCTATCTTTCTCTCCCTCTCCTTTCCTCTCTGAAATCAATATATATAAATTTAGACTTCAAATTTTCCTATATTTCTCTATTATTTTGTTTATTTTTGTTAATCCTCACCTGAGAATATTTTTCCATTGATTTTTTTTTTATAGAGAGAGTGGAACTGAGGGGAGAAGAGAGAGAAACATCGATGTGAGACACATCAATTGGTTGCAACCCGACCCATGATTGAGCCTGCAACCGAGGTACATGCCCTTGACCAGAATCGAATCGAACCCACAACCCTTCAGTCCGCAGGCCGACACTCTATCCACTGAGCCAAACCAACTAGGGCTATATCTCCCTATTTTTGAGTGGCAACACACAATGAGAGCTTACATATGAGATTTAAGATAACAGCCAACTTCCAGGAATGTCCTGAGTTCACAATGTTCTGTTCTTTTTATATCTTTGCCTATACCAGTAGTTCCAAAAGCTGGAGAGCTTTTTAAAAAAATAAGAGGACTCCCGAATCAAAATGTCTGGGGGAAGAGCCAAGGAGTCTTCATTTTAAAAAAAGTTTATAGATGATGTTTGGCAACAAATTACCTAGATCATTTAGAGTCAGACAACAACATTAAAGTACTGCTCAATCAGGTCTGGTATATTACACTTATCAGGGCATTAAACCTACTAACTATAATCAAAAAAAGAAACAAACAAGAATCGTCTGCCTTCTATTAATCAAAAATTTAAACAGAAGTCCCTATGCTACATGAATTCAATATATAAAATACTTAAAATAATTTGATTAAACATATTGCCATTTCCTTTCCCAACTTGGTAACTCTGAGGATCAGCTTACCTGTAAAAATAAGAGCACCCCCGGACAGTGTTGTGGGTATAGTGCTCCAAGGTCCTTTCGCTGCCGTAGTCTTCTAAGGGATCAGACCAAAGCAGGTCACACACTGGCCCAAAGGCTGGAGGTTCTTTAAACCTGTCTAACTGGAAGACAAGCAAAAGCCAAAAAAAGAAAAATCATGAAAGCAAAAGAGCTTTTGAAAATTGGTATGGGTGAAAAAACACAAAAATCCTTCCATCCATATAGGAGAGAAGGCAACAAGCCCCTAAAGGATTTTCCTGCAAGAAAACGAACATTTAACAAATTTAGATACACAATTTCTATCATTTTTTATAATACAGGATCAGGCAAAAGTAGGTTTGTATGAAAAATGATATAATAATTAATAAATAATAATACAAGAATAAATTATTTCATGTACTCACAACTGTAAACCTACTTTTTAATTTTATTCATTGCTTCATTTAAAAATAATTTATTTTTCAATTATAGTTGACATACAATATTATATTAGTTTCAGGTATTTAACATAGTGGTTAGACATTTATATAATTTACAAAGTAATCATTCCAATAAATCTAATATCCATCTGACACCATATATAGTTATCACAATATTATTGACTTATACTGTACTTTACATTCCTATGACTATTTTGCAACAACCAATTTGTACCTCTTAATCCCTCCCCCTTTTTCACACGTCCCCAAATCGCTCCTTTCATTTGGTGATCATCAAAATTTCTCTGTATCTATGAGTTTGTTTCTGTTTTGTTTATTCATGCGTGTTTTTTCAGATTCCACATATAAGTGAAATGATATTTGCCTTTCTCTGTGTGACTTATTTCACTTAGCATAATTCTCTTGAGGTCCATCTATGTTGTTGCAGATGGCAAGATTTCATTCTTGTTTTAAAAAATGTTTTTATTGATTTTTTTATGAGAGAGAGGAAGAGAGAGAGAGAGAAACATCGATGAAAGAGAAATGTCATCGATGGGCTGCCTCCTGCACACCTCCTACTGGGGTTTAAGCCCACAACCCGGGCATGTGCCCCAATCAGGAATCCAACTGGTGACCTCTTGTGTTCATGGGTCAATGCTCAACCACTAAGCAACACCAGCCGGGTGGACACAAGATTTCATTCTTTGTGGCTGAGTAATATTCCATTGTATATATGTACCACTTCTTTATCCATTCATCTATTGATGGACACTTAGCTGTAATTTAATGCGGTTGTGAGAGGAGGTAGGTAAGGTGCTTACCTATCCCCTATAAACCTACTTTTGCCTACTCTGTATTTTTTTTGATAGATTTTTATTGATTTCAGAGAGGAAGTGAGAGGGAGTAAGGTGCTTACCTATCCCCAAAAACCTACTTTTGCCTACTCTGTATTTTTTTTGATATTTTATTGATTTCAGAGAGGAAGGGAGAGGGAGAGAGAGATAGAAACATCAACGATGAGAATCATTGATTGGCTGCCTCCTGCATGCCTCCTATTGGGGACCAAGCCCGCAACCCAGGCATGTGCCCTTGACTGGAATCGAATCCAGGACCCTTCAGTCCGCAGGCCAATGCTCTATCCACTAAGCCAAACCAGCTAGGGCCCACCCTATATTTTCTAAATAAATATATTTGTTATCTATCCATTTTGTAGAAAAGAACCACTTACGTGCGAATGCTAATCTTACAAGTAGTATGCACTTATTTAATTGGAAAGGAAAAACAAACCACGATAGAGATATACTATTATTTAGAAAGACTGTGAGAAGTTCATTTCAACTGCCTAGATGAGCCAATGTTACCATGAGAGCAGGAAGGGTTTTACAATGATTCTATTCATTGTTTATCTCATTCCAATAGAGATTTCTTTATTTTAAAGCATGCTAGTTTTATTTTGTGAAGAGTTTTCATCCTATGCAATGGAGGCATTTCAATATAAGTTACTTATGTCTTTAGTCATTGCTGCTGTTGTTAAAAGCATAAAAACAAAAACAAACAAAAAACCCCAAAAGAAATAACTAGAATGGCTGAGTGCGAAGAACAGAATTTCTACTAAGTGAAATTGATTAATACAATCAATTCAGAACTATTAAATGCTGGTTATTTAAAAAACAATGAAGTAGCAAAAAAGGCAGTGCAGTAGACACGTCTCTTACCCTGAGGAAAGGTAACCAGTTTTATAAACAGAAACATCTTTAATTGTAGTACTTATATGAGAGAGGTGAAAAATAAGAAGGTAGAGGAGAGATGATGGTAATGTAGAACAATATAAGTGAAAAAAAGACTGGTCATCTTTTTTCAATTATGAAGATACAAAATCCTGGAAATAATCACACGTCAGGAAGTGCAATACTTAAACTCTTCATCTAAAAATGTCAGTCAATGAATTTCAGAGCTGGAAGTCTTCAGACCTTCCATTCTGACTTCCTCATTTCAGAGAAGAAACTGTGACTATGAGGTTACGTGATTTGGTCAAGCTTACATGATAAATGGCAGGATAGGGATTAGAACCCTGGTTCTCTTCCTTATGCACTGCTACAAAATTTAAAGTTTCAGGAATATACTAAGAAATGTTATGTTTTTAGTTGGTAAAAGCACAGATTTAATTTAAAATTACAGAAAATTTCTGGAAGATATATAGCAAAATGTCAACCGGAGTTCTCTTTCAATAATTAAATCACAGGTGATTTCCATTTGGTTACTTCTGATGATTTGTATTTAAAAATATTCAGCAATACACATATTAGTTGACTGCAATAAAAATCAAGATTTAAAAAAATATCTATACTAATAAAAGGGTAATATGCTAATTAGACTGGACATCTTCCAGACAAAGCCACGGTGGCAGGGGCCAAGGCAGAGGCAGTTAGGGGCAATCAGGCCAGCAGGGGGGAGCAGTTAGGAGGTGATCAGGCTGGCAGGAGAGGGCAGTTAGGGGGCAATCAGGTCAGCAGGCAGAGGTGGTTAGGGGTGATCAGGCAGGCGAGCGGTTAGGAGCCAGAGGTCCCG